CTAAGAATAATAACGAAAATAACGAAAATAAAAAATTTTTTATATATGATCGCCAATATTTACTGTGATTGGCCGATCATATAGGAGTCGCCATGACGATGGGTCGCCATCTATAATTTTCCATAAAAAATATAAAAGACAGTAGTAGAGAACTATAGATTGTATTTCAATATATAAAAAAAGTATTTGATTTAGTATCACTTAAAGCTTTATGAAAAATAATAAAAAGGATCAAGATGCTTAAAATAAAAATTAAATTTATATTTAACTTCTTTATAAACAAACAATTCAGAATTATTACTGGCCTGATCTAACTAACTTCTTTGAAATATAAGAAAAAATAAAACAAGATGAGATAATCTTATTACTAGTATAAAAAATCTTCTATAATCTACTACTAGAAAAAATTCAAAGAGATTCTAGTTTAAAGTATTTAGTATTTTATAAAATCTTACTAAATCTAACCTCAAATTTTATAATTACAGTAAAAATATATAAAGATAAGCAGTAAGGATAATGTTATTTATTACCTGATTTTTTTTATCAGAAGCTTACCTCCTTCCTTCTCTTATTATATATCTTAATCAGGTCTTTATATATAATTTTAAATTTTTTACCCCTCCCTCCCTAAAAAATCATCTGATTTTTGTTATATCCCTAATAGCATATGTTGATAATATAATATAAATAGCAGAAAGCAAAAACAAAATAAAGAAAACACTTGCAATTGCAAAAGAATTCTTTGAAAAAATAAATTCAGATCAATAGAAAAAAATGAAATTAATTATAATAAACTTAAAAACATCAAAAAAAAAAAGAAAAGTTTTTTTAAAAAAGAGTAGATATATAAAGAAAAAGAAAACAAGTTAGTTAGATTTCTTGAAATTTTGGCTAAATAGTAAGATAAAAAAAGCAATTAAAACCAAAACAAAAAAATTATATAGTCGATTTTGAAAAACTTTATTATTAAAAAAATAACAATTAATTAATTGTCTTATATAAACAAACATATATATAGTTTCTAAATTATGCTATATGCTACAAACTACAAAAATAACCAATAAAATGATAAACAATATGCATATACTACTGATCAAACTGGCAAAGAATAAAATGAAAATAACAGTCATGACAAGAAATAGTATAATATATCACAGAAATATAGGCAACTGTAATTCTTTGTAGAATCAGCTACTTCTTAAACAGATTATAAGTCTATATAATCATCTTAACTCAACTGGTTTAGAAAAGTTACTAACCAAAATGAATATTAAAGAAAAATTTCTTCTTGTAGATGCCTCAGAAAATAATTGATATGAAGAAATTCTTGAGGCATATGTGAAAGTTTAAAAAACAATTTAACGTGTTTATTAATGCTGAGAACAAAGAAGCTAAACCTTTCTTTCAAGTTTAGCAATATCAATCTACTAGAATTTGATCAGAACCAAAGACTCTGTAATATCTTAAAGAAACTATTCATATTACTAGTAATACACTGCCTTAAAAGCTTTAACTTAACCCTTATTGACCAACTGCTAGACCTAAAAGGAGAACACATGATAACTTGACAACAGCTTAAATTTTTAAGAAAAGAAACAAGCAAGGGTAGAACTGCTAATGGTTTAAAAAAATCGAAGAATTAATATTAGAAGACTCCAGAAGCAGATTTGTGAAATCACAATATAGGACAAAGAGTAACAATGGATAGGTTTTGAGAGCTTATCTGACGAATTTAGTAATAGACAATAGTGGATAGTCTATGGTTTAACATTAAACTTGCTTTTTATTGTACTACTAAATGTTAGTATTTATCGATATGCATATTTTAATTTAAATCGATCAGTAATAAAAATCACGCGAGGGGGAAAATGGTGATGCTAGGGTAGCTTAATTGGATATCGATCGTCACGTGGAAGTAACATTTTTGGTGGCCAATCTCACCCACGTTAAAATTAGTAATGCTCTAATCAAAAACGTATTTTATATTTATTCTAAATTCTGATTGGTCTGTATCACGTGCAATCACGAAACGTAAAATGTCGTGGCGGCCCAGAGGCGCTTTTTAAAAGTCGTAATTGTCATCTTCTGCGGGTCTTACTCTCTTCCAATTTTCATTCATGCCAGACGTTAGATCAGGAGACTCTACATCTGGCATATCATAGTCAGTTTCTCCATCATTTGATGAGTTGTCTTGAGTAGTAGTTGAGGGAGCAATTGGATGATCGTTATAAGGTTGAATTTCCATCATGTTATCATCAGTCTCGACAGGAATGTTTTGAGAAGTCTCAGATTGAGAAGATATAACAGGATTTTCCTGTATGAATTGTTGTAATGCTGGTGGCTTATAACGAATGGTCAATACAAATATATAAATACAATAGAAATGAGAATATTATTTATACTTAGTTGAACAAAGAAGGCTTGATTCACCTCAGGTACAATTTTGAAATTCATAGCAGTCAAACAATGTCGTTCAGGTGGTAATCGTAAACCATATCTTAAAGGTACTTGGGGTAATGGTTCTTTATTTTGTTCTTTTGCAAGTTGAGTCAAAAACTAGAAATTATATAGATTGAAACAAGATTTAATGAAACCATATTGAATCATAAATAGTTATAACCCATTTTTGAGTAGTTAGAACCTCTTGTTGTGGAGGATGAATGAACGAGTGGTTAATGCGGCCTTGTATCGCTAGCTTAATATCATCATCATCTATATCATTTTTTCCGGTGTGTTCAGCGTAGGCTGCAGCGTCTTGAATAACATCTATTGTGTACCCTACGTTAATATTGATAATATTGATTCATTAAAGGTCATTATTACGATCTAAAAAAACCGACAAATAACTGATTTTCTCACAATACTTAACGGTGAGTAAACTCTAACAATTGTTGAACAACCTTTGGTTCAAAATCAGAAACTCCTGCCGATCGAAGAATTAGCTCCATAATCTTTGAATCGCGGGTATACATGGTGTCGAAAATATTTTGCTCTTGGCGTAAATTTAAATGACGAAAATAATTTTTGACAGTCAAAATCGCAAATAATTTAGTACGTCTAGTATCCGAAAATATTTCTGATATCGAAACCTACATACTGTTCTTTGTAGATCTACACCTACCAAGCATAGCGAGCTTAAATCTGATTGGATGGTCGATCAAATGTTACACGAATATGATTTTCATATTAGCGTAACATTTTGCAGCTACAAAAATGGTTTCGCAGCCATGTGTACGAATTCGCAGAGGTTGTAATAAAAAAATTCATAAAATATAAGCATAGTTCTATAAACTGTCAAAGTAATTTGGTAAACTACGATGTAATTCGGAAGTTAGCTAAGAAGAGTTTTTTCAATTCGTTATAATAAGCAATTATTAATAAAATAGAAATAGGCACAAAATGGCTTCACAAGAACTCTACAACGTAGAAACACCTTTTTCTAATGAAAAAAAAAGGAAAGAGAAAGGCCCAGTACTGCGATTTGGAGGGTCAAGACAATGTCGTCTACGATTATGAGCAACATGGCGCATCTGTTGTAACAGATCGGGTTACAATACCAAGTTCAAGTCAACATCTGGACTTGGTCGGCAAAGCATTATGCCGAAAACATTATAATTGGTTAATTGTAAATGCAAAAAAAATCAAAAACTAACACCTGTTCTCATCCCAAACATCATCTTTATATATCTACAGTTCAAAACGGTAAAGAAGGGAAGAAATTTAAGAAAACTCCTGAATGGCTAATTAAATTTTTTGGATTATCATTAGAGGCAAAGATGTGTCACCATTGCTTATATGAAACTGATAAGGATCCCGAATATATGAATATATTAAACTACCCACAAGCAAAAGAAAAGATTTTAAAAGAAAATTTAAGGCAATTTAAAGGTAAGTCATATGTGTTGCATTGCGATGTTATTTATTTCAAAGCACAATTTCAAGAATTGGAAGCCGTGTATAGTGAAGTATGTGCAGAACTTGATGAGGCAAAATTAGGTATTTTTTATTTATTTATTTATTTTATTTTATTTTATTTTTTTTTATAATTCGGCAATTCTGTCTTTGTTTATTTGAGATTAAGCTATTCAAGAATTATACATTTCTATCTATAGCTATTGCTAATCTAACCAAACTAGAGACTCATTTCCAGCTTTTGCTCAGGTATGACCTGCCTCAGTAGTCTTTGGCCTCCCTCCGGATCCTTAACTTACTAAGGATTTATTTCTCTTTGGTCATCAGCTGGTGACTACCTACCTTGTCAGTACTATCTAATTATATTTATGTTCCATAACGTAATTATGCTTTGGCCATGGCCAATACTTGTGAATAATGCAAAATATCGAATCATTAATCTTAAAGTAAGATTATTACATTGTGTATTTTCTATTTTATGAATTCTAAAAATTCTGCTGCTACTTAATTTCTTCTGTGATCTTCTATAGTTACCCCAATTTATCTTTTTGTATTTTATTTACTTATTTTCTATTAGTAGTCTGCTTTAATGCTTCAATCTTCTATTTTTTCTCTTCTTCTTGTGTTTTTTTCAGTTCCTGAAATTCATCTTGCTTTTTTTGCTCTTAATAGTATTCTTTATACAGATTTCTTCCAAAATTATTTGTCTGTAACTTTTTCTTTCTTCTAGTTTTTTTACTGCTACTTTAGCTTCTTCTATTTCTAGGTCTTGGTTAGTTTATTCAAATCTTCTTTTACTCTTTTGTCAGGACCTTGTGTTTTCTTTCTTTTTTTTATTTCATAGTTTTATATATCTTTTGATAAGTTTCTTTCAGATCTTTGTATACTTCTTTTGACTTTTTGATTCTTTTAAAAACTTTTTTACTGTTTCAGATATGAAGTTTTTTTTTTTCTCTTCCAATTCTTGACTCTTTAGAACTAATTATTTATTTTCTCTTTTTTATTCTATAAGCTTGTTTTTTTTTGTATAACTTCTTTTGCAGTTTAAAGTATTTTTTTTGATTTCTAGTTACTTTTTTTATAATTTTTTTTGCTATTCTAAATTTGGTGTCTTTTTTTTTTCAATTCTTGTTTTCTATTGTTCTTCCTGTTTTTATATCTTGTATAGTATTTTTTTTATTTATGCTGGTGTTTGTTAATGATTTAATTAGTCTACTCCATTTATCCAAGATTTTTTTTTTTTCTTTTTCCAATTTTTAATGTTATCTTGTCTACTTTTTAAGTTTATTTGGTATATAAATTGTCATGGCTGATGCTGAAATTGGCTGATGTTGAAATTTGGACCTATTTTGATATGAAATTTTAAACAAATTTTGGGGTGTTTTTTTACCGCCTTTTTTTTATAGTTAGGTTAGGATTTAGGGTTAGAATTTATAATTAAAGAGTATATGTAGATTCTAGCAGAGCCTATATTTTAAAATTGGGACCCCAAATTTCAGCATCAGCTGCGACATAAATTCTACTATTTATTTTTGTGTTTTTCTTTGTAAGTTTTTGTATTGTATGTTGATAGAGTTTTCTTCTTCTATTAAGATTATTGCTAAAATTTTTGGTCTTGATTTTTCAGTTAGTTTGTCTAAAGTTTTTTTTCTATAAGGTCTTCAATAACTCTTTCTGTGTTTTTTTTTTAATATTTCTTCTTTTTCTTTAGCTTTCTTTTGTCTTTGTTTCAAAAGCTTTGCTTTTTGTTGAACTTGCATCATCTTTTTTTTTTTCTAATTCTATTTTCTTTTTTTTTACTTGTTGGTTTATTTCTATTAACTCTACAGATTCTTTAAAGCATTATATTAATAGTTCTAATATTATTTTGTTATGCTGCTTTTGTCAGCATTTTCTCTGTATATCTGGTTTTTTCATCTATTCTGTCTTTATTCTAGTTCTTGTATACTTAGTGGTTATTCTTTCTTTATTATATGCAAACAGCTTTTCTCTTTCTGTTACACATAGATTTTTTATGATACTGGTTACTTTGTCTAGTAGGATGTGTTCTATTTGGTCGATTTTTAATTGTACTGCCTCTTAATATGCTGTATTATTTCTTTTTCTGAATGCAAGTTCTGTATTTTAATTCTTTCTGCTCTATATTGTTTTAATTTTATATATATTGTTTTTATTCGTTCCTTTGTTTGTTCTGCTATTGTAGATTTTGTTTTAGCATTTTCTATTGCTTTTTGCTTCACATGACTATTTAATTGTTGTATTTGTATATCTTCTTTATTTTCATTCATCACATGTTTTTTAATATGTTTTCTTTATTTATTCTTTATTATATGTTGTATATTTTGTATAACAGCAACTAATCTGCATTACAAATCAAGGCCAATTCCCTAAACAACTTGCAAAGAGCAAAATTATCAATGATTTTTAAGTTTTTCTTCTATATCTTTACCAATTCTGCTTTATTTACTTTAGTCTCTTAAGAAACTAGATATTATTTTTAGTCTTCTTGTTTTTTTCTTAGAGCTGCAAGTCTTGTTTTCTATAGCTGGTTGTGTGTTTCTGTTGTTGTTTTGTTTTTGTATTTTTGTATACAAAGAATCAGCAGGAAGAGTTGAATATTTTTTTTTTGTATTATTAATATATTTTGAATCATTTTTATAATTATTTTATTGGCTGGAGCGAAGCAACGGACTCATACTTCTACGCTCTGTGATGACCGAAATTACGTTTTTGATGCAGTTATAATAAAAATATCAAAAATGTAGTTATGGTATTTCCGTCTGTAACGCCACGTATCTAAATTTGTATATTTGTGTAACAACAATACAAATCAAAAATTTTATGTGGCAATATAACATTCGCCTGATTGGCTAATGTAAAAACTGGGTAACTATTCTAGATTTTTTTTCGTAACTACGTATCATTTCTTTCTTTTATAGATTTTGCCTTATTTTTCGATAAGTATTTTTTTCGATCG